GATTACATTGTTAACGGCCTTTTTACCGTATATACTTTATTCAATTACTGCGCAACTGAGGAGTCATTGCGTGCGTAATGATCAAGACTGTTCCGCAACAAATATATGGAAACAATGTCAGTAAGGGCTGCCGCGACGCGAATGAGTCCGAACTTCTATTACCGATAACCTCAAAACGGAATATTTTATCAAAATGTCTTTTTTATTTTCGAATTAAGCATATACATTTACACCTAAATATAACTATACGGTAATTTTTTTATTACATATTCACCCATGGATCAATCGATGTATAGCACAGCTTATCTCAAGAATAAACAAATATGTTTAAAAAGATTTTTAAAATATGTATTCTAAATTATAAGATTATAATATTATAAATGTATAATAATATAACGAAAATATAATAAACAAAGAAAAATACAAGAATAAATGGATAATAAAAACAATCTAGACTTATAATTTAAAATACGACGTTGATTTCTTGGAGCAATGAAGAAACCCAAACTTTAAACAGCGAGATAAAAATGATTACATCAAAAAGAAGAATAGCAGAAAAGAGGGGTATAAATAATAATTTATTACCGTAAATTTCTGAATAGAAAATAATTACAACAAAAAAATGTGGTTAGCTGGTTTATCGATCCTCTCTCATAAGAGACCGAAAAATATGCACACAGAATAAAATAAACACCAAAACAGTATGTATATAATAAGGATATAGCAATTAAAGGCTACTCGCATTTATGCTTAAAAACTACTCTTTCTGTTTACAGAGAGATGGCTGGCACGACTTTATATAAACAGATTCTAACAATATCAAGTACATGTTGTGGCACATTGATCAGTCAGTCAATTATGTGCCATGCGTGATACACGCTTAGGCGATCATTTATCTTTCTATACATGACTGAAGAGACATATTTTTTCCCACGGTTTCCCTTTTTTTCTGCAGTGGACCAGTTGCCATCCAAGGTTATAGAACCCAGTCTGTCATGATATTTAACCATAGCTGGGTGGAGAAAAAGACGATCTATACCTTTCCTAATTGTATTAGCACGTAAGTGAATGTAATGGATTCGACTGGAATTCGAACTCGGCTCTCCGATTCTTCAATCCGAGCCGCTATCCATTACTCCACCGTGCTGATTTAAAAAACGTTCAGGTATCGCTGAACAAGTTGTGTTTATGCGCCTGAACATATTGTCGAATATTGACTCGGACGGGTTGATTAATCCTGACCTCCAACCTTTCTACCCTCAACTTCATACGGATATTTGAATTGGCATGTTACCGAACAGATATGATAGGGATGTAAAAAAAAATACTTTTTGACAGAGC